ATTGGTCGGTAGTTATTGTATTGAATACTATGTGAGTGGGAGTTAGAGCCCCTGACGCCCACAATAGGTTGTGACGTTTGCTCCTGCTTCTCTGTTCCTAAATATGACCTTCGAATCCTCTTTAGCACAGACCTTATGCCAGGCACAACCAGCCAAGTGACCTTCAAGATGCCTTTTACCAGACACTTACTGTGTTCTTATTTGTAGACGTTGTCACCAGTCCCAGGTGACTGTGTCCTGTGGCATCTTAGGAAGTGAGGGGTGCAGCGGAAATAATCCACAGAGATAGATGGGGGAGAGGGGGCGGGCGCTGCCAGAGTGGTGGACTGTTGGTTTAAGAGAGCTGAGTTCTGAGGACAGCCTGTGAGTGGACTTGAGGCCGAGGACGCTCAGTGCAAGGCCACCCGACGGCCACCTGTGGTCCACTGTGACCTGGGTGTGAGTGTGTGTTTGGGGCTGGGGATGTGGGTGGAGTCGGAAAAAGGGACGATGGTTCCAGGACCAGAAGAGGCACAGGGGCAGCCAGAGCACCGCCAACGGCAAAGCTCCCCTCCTCTTCCCCACTGGGCTGACCCGGGAAGAGGCTCACGAGAGAGCCTCTGAGTCAGCAGACCTGCACCTGAGTCAGCTGACCTGCTGAGATCAGTGCTCAAATGAAGAAGCTCACTTCCAGGAAGACGCTGTAGAGCCGCCTCCCAGGGGCTCGGCCTTTGCGCTGGCCGGTGAGCTCAACTTCAAGGCGTGCGTGAATCCACTTAGGACTTGAAGAGTTAATGCTCAGACACAGGTGTGGAAACAAAAGGGCCTGGACGCCTCCCTTGGTCTTTTTTTTTTTTTAATGTGCTTTTGGATGAGGTTATTGTATCTGATCCAGAAAAAATAATAAACTTGGCTCTTGTGGCCTCGTTGTAAGTTCTTGTAATAAAACTCCCGGCCTTGGCAGATGGAGTAGTACTCTGCTCTTAAAAGAAAGTCTGGTAGCATAGCCAGGATTTAAAATACCAGTGCTGCGTGCAGCTCAAGTAAGGAAGAAGGGGACTCAGGTGCTCGGCTGCCTTCCCAGGGTTTGCTAGACCATAAACGACTTGGTGGCTGTCCCTTCGACAGACCCTTGCAAAGAGCCAAGGTCCTTGGAGCTCAGTGTCCTGCAGATCCCGACAGGAAGACATCTGTCATGTCGGGGGGGTGGGGGTGGGGTTGGGGTTGGGTTTTAATTAGAAACCGGGAGGAAAGTTCAGCGCGCCATGGGCGGGGACACAGAGCCGCTAAGCATGCTTTAATAATTGGCTTTTAGCTGGCGCTATTAGGTGAGAAATCAAATCATTAGCTTTAAAGCCTGGCTCAGAGCCAGCTCTCTGGGGAGGTGGGGGAAGCCAGGAGCTCTGGCAACCGGAGTGAGGAAGAGTGATCTTCCCTTGTAGGTAGCATCAGGGAGCCTCCCATCAACACTCGATTTTTTTTTTTTTTTTTTTTTTTTTGGTTTTACGAGACAGGGTTTCTCTGTATTGTTTCGGAGGCTGTCGGTCCAGCCCGGCCTCGAACTCACAGAGATCCGCCTGCCTCTGCCTCCCGAGTGCTGGGATTAAAGGCGTGCGCCACCAACGCCCGGCGAACACGCAATTTTTAACCCCCCGCCTGCGCCATGCACTGTGCCTGGTAAGGAGACTCAGGATGGACAGGCAAGCGCTTACTTGGCCTTCAGGTGTCGGTCTTTGTGGGTGTGTTATGTGAGAGAGCGGATGGGCAGGAGGCATGTTGGCGACAAGCCGTCAGCTAAGTGTGTCCTGAGGAGATCAGGGGCCTGGGAGGCCCACAGAGGAGGGGAATGAAACGCAGGTGAGGGAGGCGCAGGGCGGTGGTCCAGGCAGGGAAGACGGACAGAAGGCCCAAGAGTGTCTGCGGCTGTCATTGGCTTGATGTGGTAAGTCCTGGGCATGTGGGAAAGTGGGGTGAGGTGTGGGGGATGGGGGGGAAGTGGGCCTCTTCCCCAGCCATGTTAAGATGCTTAACTGTTCTATATTATCACATACTTGCATTTAAGGAAGATTTTCCAGGTGACGATGTGAAATATGGGTGAAGGGATGGAATTGTTTTCCTTTGTTTGCCTTTTTAAAATAGAAAGGCTAGAAATATGTTAGCATGACAAAGACCCTGAACCAAGGTGGAGGATGGGCAGTGGACTAATTAGCTTAGGAAGTTTGTTATTTTATCCAAATATGAAACTTTGTGCTTAACCTTTCATTTTTTAAGCAACAATTTCACATTCACTTATTGTGATACACCAAGAAATATGTGTTTAGTCTCTGCTCTTTGTGTCTGACACACATCTCCTAAAACCCTTGGTGTCCCCCAAATGATATCTTGCTTGTGTTAATGTGATGACTGCTAACTGGGGGCTCCTAGATGGCCTGGTTACCTCTGAGGCTATTATCCTGAAGAGAGAATACATGATAGAAGTGCACTGACCTCTTAAATATTTGAAGGCTTGTGTTACCAAAGAACGAGGAATGATTTCTCTGACCCGAGAGGCTGACTCAGACCAGCAAACAGAATCTTAGGGAGAACAGAGCCTCTGGATGCTGGAATCCACAAGTTGTTCTCTGACCTCCAGATGTGTACAATGCCACGGGCCTACATACATACCATGCATACACACACACACGCACACACACATATACACATACACCACAAATACACATATCACACGCATGCACCACATACACACACCACACACACACCACATCACACATGCACACCCCCCTCACATGCATGCACACATACACCCCACATATACACATACCACACATGCACACGCATGTATACACACCCCACATGCACGCACACATATTCACATACACAAACACGCACACACACACACACGTGCACACGTGCGTCATTTTTAAGGAGAGACTATAACCCTGTCATGACAGAGACTGATGTTCTTTTGAGGGCCAGAACAGAAGCCCACTGTGACTAGAAGTCCGAGCCTTGTATGCAGGTCTTGTCCTGGTGCTGAGGGAGACTGTCCTCTCTCTCCAGTTCCCTTTTCTGCTGTGGGAATCACAGTCATCACTGGTCCTGAGAGTCACGGGGGTCACACCCATGAACCATATCTTCTGTGACTCCGTCGTGGCATGGCGGAGGGCCTGTGCAGGGCCTGCAGAGCTGGTGGGTTGAGGGGAAAGTGCTGACTAACCCCTTGTGCTTGCTTGCGAAAGCAGAAAGTTCCCGTTGACCTGCAGTCAGGGACCCCTCCCTACCCCTGGCAGCCTCTCTCTCTCCTTATTGGAATGTGCCTGAGGAGTGGTGCTAACTGCTAACTGCGTTTCCAAATTCCTCAGCCCTGAGTTTATATGAACCTTCGGGCTGCCTGGAGAGAAGACTGCGCTGAGGCAGGGCTGATGGTGTGTGGCGGGCAAGGTGACGGTCGGCAGGAACGGCCCTTGCTAGAGCTCACTGTCACGTGGTTCTTTAATAACTTCAGGCTGCACCCCATACTGCTGCTGGCCTACTGTTTACGCCCGCCCGTCCTTCTGGACTCTGGAATGTAGCAGTGGGATGTGTCTCTGCATTCACTGGGGGGGGGATATGGTTGCTTCACACAGTGTATTTGAAACACAGCGTGGAATTTTACAGCCGTAACATAAAAAAAGGACATGGGGAACAAACATCTAGGGACCCTTGCCTTCACAGCCAGGGCGATGCTGGCACTGGGTCAGAGTCCTCGCTGCGCTCCTGTGGGGTTTGCTCTGTCAGGAACGAGATGAACAACAACAAAAAAATGTGCTTGTGCTTTTGCGGCAGCTAGGAGGTTTCACTGCAGGTTTCCCGAAGGCGGAAAGCCCCAGATGAGATAGCATTACTGATGCCTGGCTGCGCCCAGCAGAGATACCCAGAGGTGGCATGGTTAGTATGAGGAGGCAAGAAGATGGTGGCCAGCCTTGACATGAACAGACGACATTGAAACGGGGCCAAAGCTAACCCTCCCCACTGGCTTATAACCAGCACGAGGACCCTTAGAAGTCATCATTACAGTACCAGAAGGCACGTTGTGGTGCCTAACACATAGTCGGTGGGCAGTTAATGGCCATTATTGTGACTTTTTTTTTTACCCAGTTTATTAGTGATTAGTTCTGTGTTTTCTAAGCCAGTACAAACCATAACGGCCATTCTTGTGACCCAGTTTATTAGTGATTAGTTCTTTGTTTCCTAAGCCAGTACAGACCAGAAAGGCTTCCTTAAATCTTTAGGAACTCAACAGGGGGGCCACGAGGTAGCTCAGGGGGTAAGGCGCTTACTGCCAAGCCTGACAACCCCTCAGAAGTCTTCCTCGGACCTCAACATACGCCTGCATACTTACATGCACAAAGTAAATATTGAAACAAACAAACAAAAAAAGAATAAAACTTGACATATATCACAAAACGGGGTTCTTGGAAGCCCAAACTGTGGAATCAAGTAGATATTTGGGTGGTGATGACACTTGGGAATATCAAGTAATAACACTTGGTTATCTCCACCACAGCCTTCTACACACAAGTGCGTAACTGTCACAGTGTCTACAGCAAGCTTGCTCAGGCCCATTGTTAGTTTATTCTATATTGGGCACCATTAGTAATGCCACTATGTGCAAAGGGTGATTATACCTCCAGATGTTCACCATTGTAAATGAAGACCAATGGCGCATGGGGGGGGCGGGCCTCTAACGGAGGCTTGTGGGAAGTCGTGAAGATGAACCCCACTGTATCCGGAGCACGGTTTCTCGTCGCACGGTTCTCTCAGGGTTCAAAGGGACACCCCTGCCTGGGGTTATCTGGGAGAAGTGGGCTTGGGGTTCTTGAGTTAGCTCTTAAGAGACCTTGCCTGCCTCGTCTCATCTGCTTGCACAGCAGAGAGAAGAGATAAATTAGGGATGGTGGCTAAGTCTGGCCAGTGCTTCCTTTAACTCTGGTTTGGCTCCGGATAACTCTGTCACGTTAACTATATTTTTGTTGCTTCAGGTGTCGGAGGGGTCTGTGGTCCAGTTTTCGTCGGGAAACTTCTCCTCGACTGCGGAAACGAAAGAGGGGAGTTTCCCTCACGGAAACGAGCATCTGCTGAACTGGGCCCGGAAGGAGTATGGAGCAGTGACTTCGTTCACCGAACTCAAGCTAGCGAGAAACATCTACATTAAAGTCGGGGAAGGTAAGTCAGTCTTGTGTGGCCCCTGTTACTGACAGATTTTATAACCACTGGTTGCTTGCCGTTCTGAGTCCAGGTGGTCAGAGCCAGGGATGGTCAGATTCCAGAGTGCTGGAGCTGGCAGAGGCCTAAGGGATGCCATTCAGAACTATACTTACACACACACACACACACACACACACACACACACACACACACACACACACACACACACACACACCCTCCTCCTCCATTCTTCCTTCTGCAGAAATGGGACCCGGCTATAACCAGCTGAGAGGTAGGGCGTGTCTGGGAGAAAGGGAGGTTGCTGTGTAGGATTTAGTCACACCTGGAATTCAGAATAAGCAAGTGGCTAAGGGTGAGGGGAAGGTGTGGTGACCCGTACGATGAAGTCATCAGGGTAGGTTCGGCACCCGAGGCAGCTTCTTACCTACTATTCTGCAAATGTTTGAAGCCATTGTCCCCTTCTGGTGTTAAACTGTAGACACCGACCGAGGGAAGCGTGTTCAGATATTTTCAGCACCAAGATTCATTACAAGGACACGGTTGTTTTTTGTTTTGGAGAAAGGGACTACATATGCTTTGATAAGAGATAGCCCATTTTAACTTCCTTGCCTTGCAGAAAGATGTAACTATCCAACAACTCAATTTTGAAAGCCTATTTTTAAAGTATTTTAAAGTCATTTTTTGTTGTTGTTGATTATATTTGGATCACCCCCGCCCCTCAAGTTACTAGGAAATAACCGTCATGGATGGGACCTTGTCCTCAGCTGGCTGTGTGACAACAGCCATCAACACCTCCTGCCCAGATATGGGGGGCGGGGGGGGGCAGGCAGATCCCAAGAAGGGATCTTGTTCTTGTTATTCTCAGCAAGACTGGGGGAGGTTTAAGTAAATGGGCCACATTACTAGAAAGTGGCAAAGCCCCTTCTCAGCTATAGAATCCCTCGAGTCTACTGCTGGACCATGCTCTCCTTTAAGTCTTACCCAAATAAGCACAGCCCCAGAGTGAAGGTGAACTTCTGAATGGAAAGTGGCTTGTTAGCCCGGGAGAAGGGGTTTTTAGATGGGAGTGGGGTTTCAAAGGCTTTAATTTCTTCCTAGATCCCCATGGTAGTCAGGCTTCATTGGAACAAAGAGATTGAAAAAAAATTTTTTAATCTTTTAAATGAAGGCTCTAAGTCAGTGCCCTGTCCGTCTGAAGCAGAAGAGTGAAGGGATAAACAAGTGTTGCGTTGTTAGAATAAGGAAATTTGGAGTGGAAACATTTAGAGTATTGGACCGTTTCCTTGACGATGGATTATAGCATAGTAGTCATCTGAGCCAGGAGTGGGGACTCTCAGGTAGCTGAGCCCCACAATTGAGACAGGGAAGCAAAATTAAAAGGCCTGGTGCCTGGTTGGTAAAAACTGGTTGACTCTGAGTATCCCTAGGATCCCCCTGAAACTTGGTTCCAGCTGTTAGCTGGGTCTAAGTCACTGCCCATGTCCAGAGTGGAGGGGGTTAGAAAAACTCCTTTGTTAGGCTTATAGCCCCCAGGAAATGTTACTATTATCACCTTGAGTCAACCTCACCAGTTACCTTCCCAAGCGGGGACCCCAGGCCATGAGTCTCTTCTTGCTCAAGCCCCAGTGGTTTTGAGAGGGTGGCTCCTACTTTTCCTTGGAAGCATCCATTTTACTAAGAACCTTCTTAGAGATGCTGATTTTTAGCCCAGTCTTGGCCATCTAAATAGGATGGAGGTCAGCAAGGCATGCTTCCATGAGCTGTCCAGGTGGCGGTTCTCACTGTCCACGCAGGGTAGAAGGGACGGAGTGCAGAGTGCTGACTCTTGCCCAAGCACTATGGGTTTATCTCCAGGTTGTAGGCAGGAAACGCAGCCTCCTTCACACGACCTCCAAGGCTCATTCCTGCTCTCAGAGTCCCTTGTCATGTTAACCTGCGCCCTTCCCCGGCCAAGCTTAAGAGGGTTAGACCCGGGGCTTCCGTTTCGTGCTTCTATTTGGCACTTGGCATATGTTTTTATGTGAAGCTTGTGGAAAGCCATGTGAGCTCCACACAACACAATGTGATCAGCTCACTCAGTTGACTCCTGGGACTGGATGGAGCCTTTACTAACAGCAACCTGTGAATAGTTAAACCTTTCCTAGGGGCTCATCCACCCCTGTAGGGGGATCTTTGTTTGTCTCAAATTTCAAATCACTGTTCGTGGACTCCCGGAAGCCTGTACTATGTGTCTATTATGTGCCAGCTATGAGCTAGGCACACCTGTGCCTGAAACCGGCACGGTGTCCCAAGAGGGTCCCGGTGTCTAGAGTCTTCGGGCCCATATACACACCTCCAGATTCTCAATCAGATTTCAGCCCTGCAGTCCCAATATCAACCCCCCCATCTTGTGACCTGGGGGTGGGGTGGGGGAGGCATCGCAGGGCTGCAGCTGTGGAGTATGCATTCCTCATGTGCACATCTGGAAAAAGCCCTTAGCAGATGTGGCGGGGATGCTGCTCCAACGGCCTGGACCTTGAAGCTGTGGGCTGTTTCCTTGGAGGAGGTTTGCAGAAATGAGGGCAGGGTACCAAGGCTCCCTTGCGGCCTTGGTCACACAAAGCAGGGGTCCTCCTCTCGGGGCGGTGCTGAGGACACTGCAGTGGCTGGAGATACAGTGCCCCAGTGTGAGCCGCAGGCCAGCAAATGGAAGTTGTACGAGGCTGGGGGGGAAGGGGGCAGTGCCAACCCAGCCTGGGACCTTGAAAAACTCATCTCCTGTTTTTTTTTTTTTTGTTGTTGTTGTTTAGTTGTGACTTCCCAGGTGGATGTGGACCCAAGCATCATCCCATCCTTAAAACGTAAAAGATACAGACAGGGCTGCCTCACTGAAGTGCCAGCCAGGTCTGATTAATTCCCCCCTCCTGGAAAATCTGGCTTCACCTAGAACTTCCCGGACACGGGGTCCCGGCTGTCACCGTGACAGTGGTTTCTCTCTTGGATTCTGTTTAAAGCGTTTAAGCCATGAGATGGAAGTCCCATTGGATGCAGTGCTGCCTAAACAGCGTGTGTCACTGGGGTAGGGGTGGGGACGACCGTCTTCAGGGTCTTGGGACTGGCGTGTCTTTTCGCAGGTCGGGGTGGATAGCAGTCCTCAGCCCAGAGGGCATTTGTAAGAGCGCCTTGAAAATGGGAAAGAGCTGTGTCAGGGTTTAGTTGTTGTGCAAGGCCAGAGTGTGAAAAAGCACGAAAGTTTGTCTTGTCTCTCCTGCCCATCCTCCCCACTTTTAATACCAGGGTAGAGGGTGCTGTGATGTGTGTGGGCCGGAGAACCAATAGCTGCCTGCACTGAGGCTGCAGGTATCTTAAAGAGAAGCCTCTAGGGTTGGAAATGGGTTCAGTGTTGAGGGTGCTCATAAGAAATGCCTGTCTAGGTGGGGACCCCTTGTCAGACAGATGACAGCCCCAAGTCTGCAGCCCAGGAGAGGAGCGATGGGCTAGGAGCAAGTGGATACCACAGGAGTGACCGGGTTATCTCTGGAGGAAAGAGCCGAGAAGTCTGCATCTGGATTATTTGGCCTGATGTGGGCTTCCGGTTGCATACATTTTCCTGCATGAGCACGGCTTCATTTCTCTTCATGGCTGTATCTCTTTTTTGAATTTTTTTTTTTGAGATAGGGTCTATAGCCCAGGCTGGCCTCCGACTTGCTTGTAGCTGAGGACGATCTTAAATTTCTCATTTTCCCGCCTCTACCTCCCAAGTGACCATATTATGGGGGCGTGCCACCTCACCCGATACCCAGCACCAGAGGTGGAACCGCCCAGGGCCCTGTGCATGGTAGGCAAGCACTTCACCAACTGAGCTACATTCCCAGCTCAGGGCTGAGAGTCTTAGCCTTGGCTTCCTAGAATTAACTACAAGAGCTCTCTGGAGAGGAAAGATGTCCATGTCCCGCACGGTATCTATCCTGAGTCGAGACTCTCCGGGGACAGAGACAGAGTGTTAGCAGGCGGGTTCCAACCTGGACCAGAGTGAGGACCACTGTAGTGAAAAAGGGTGGGACATAACGTAGGTTATAGGAAAGGACAAGGACAAGAATCGAGTGGATGTAGGCAAAAAGGAGCAGCAGAAGCAGCAGCAGCCACTATCATTGGCCACGAGATGCTCACTGGTAGCCAAAGTGGGAGGCATTTCTGAGCGTAATTGAGCCCTTTGGGCTTATGGTTTCTGTGCCATGCATTCATGGTCTCACCATCACCTCTTTCCTTCCGGTCTGGTTCCATAAACTCAGTGGTTTGACCACGTGCCCTGTCTTTATTTGCAGATCAAGTGTTCCCACCCACGTGCAGCATAGGGAAGAATTTCATCTCGCTCAATTACCTCGCTGGGTACCGCCAACCCACACCTGCCGAGGGCTGTGTCCTGTCCAGTCAGCCCCAGGAGAAGGAAGTGCACATTATTGAGTTAATCACCCCCAACTCGAACCCTTACAGGTGAGCATGCATGAGCACATGAGCGTGTGTGTGTGTGTGTGTGTGTGTGTGTGTGTGTGTGTGTGTGTGTGTATTAGATGACACAATTTGTGCTTATTCTGTCTCTCAGCTTCCTACCCTGGCCTGGAAGTTTAATTCTTCCTATTGAAAATAATTAGGTTTTTTTGTTTGTTTGTTTAAGGATAAAAAGAGTTATTTTTCACTCTGACCTGTGTTTCATATGGACCAGGGACTCAAACTTTACCGTTTTATTGTAGAGAGGTGATTTTTGAAACTAAGCGTATAAGAGTCTTCATTTCAGAACTGAATGGAGTGCAGATCAGTGGGCAGGGCTCCATTCAGTCCCCTGTACAGAGCTCTCTGGGGGGAACTCAAGAGGAATGGGAGGGGCTTGGAGAATGTGTGCTGGACTTTGAAACCAGGGCACCCCGGTGTTGTCATGCATCACAAACGTAGCCAAGACAGACCTCCCCGAAATTCGGGGCAAAGGGTGTGGTCATTTGGTCCAAGTCATTCTCTTTCACGATGATGAGTTCTTTGACTATTAACGTTCTTTAGTAACTGTATATCCAGAAGTTTGGGAAGTTAATGCAGATATGATTGTCTAACCACTGTCGATGATGCCTTAAGTCAACTGCTACTTTTAGTCAAGAGGCTTTCGCCTTGTGTTTTATCATGGTGTTTCCTAGTGCCTGCACCATCATGCCTCCCACTCAAGCCAAGCTTTTCCAAGGGCTTTCAAAAGCCTGCAGGGAGACGTAGACCTTACAGGGCAATGAAGGGCGAGGCATGGAAGCTTGAAGGCAAACAATTCTGCTTGCTTGGTGGGAGTCCCCTTCAAATGGCCCTGCATTGGGTAGCCAGCCGCCTCTCTCCCTTCCCTTCTCAAGAAGAGGAAAGCTTGAGCGGTTAATTAGCATCAGGCCTGCGTTCCCATTGTTATGTAAACCCATCGCATTGTGTGTGCAACAGCAATCTGTTTTGCACATGTCATTTGCCTGGGATCCGCGCCAGCGTTTTAATCAGCTGGCCAGACACTGGAAATGCGAGGCTTGGAAGCAGTGGCAAACAAACCTTCTGTCTGGCATCTGGGTCTTGACTTTTGTTTTCCACACGCAGCGCCTTCCAGGTGGATATAGTCATCGACATTCGACCTGCTCGTGAGCATCCTAAGGTGGTCAGAAACCTCATCCTGATCTTGAACTGCAAAAAGGCTGTCAACTGGGTGGTCAAGTCCTTTGACGTCAAGGGAAGCCTGAAAGTTATTGTAAGTTGGCTATGCGTTGCTTGGTCTCGTTAAACAGCAATTAATTTAAAGCTGTGGTTGTGTGTGTTATTTTTGCAAGGGTCCTGCACCTCTTTGAACTTCCTGAGGTCTCTGTTAGCTTTTACTTTGCAAACTATGTTTGGTTTCACCTGATGAGGCAGTCAGTGTGGTGGCTAAAACATGGCCCTAGGGAACATAACAGACATGGGTTTGAGTTTTGGTTCTTCTACTTTAAAAAAAAATTACGGCCTTGGACAAGTCCTCGAAGCTTTCTGAATTCCAGTTACCTCATTAGGAAAGTTTTTAAATGAATCAGTGTGTTTTCTAGTCACAGTAAATATGAAGCAACGAGCAAAAGTACATTTTTCATGTCTGAGTCTTCTTCAGGAGGCTTGATATCATGATCCTGAATTTCAGCTTTTCCTCTGGAGTTAGGTGCTCAGGGAGGAAAGAAAATCAAACTGATCTCAGCCCATGCCATAGACTTTCCTGCCGAGATAAATATGTGGTGTCTGTGTGTTCGCTTGCATCTAACTTTCAGGAGCAAAACTCAGAGAGAAGAATAAAGTAACTGTGGGCACAGGGGAGATTGCTCAGTCACTAAGTCTTCATCCTGCAAACTGTAATCCCAATGGTAGAGCGCGGGAGGCAGACACACACGAATCCCTTGAGTTCATTGGCCGTCTGTACAGCCTAGCTCAATTGGTGAGCTCCAGGTTCAGTTAGAGACCCAATCTCAAAAACTTAGGCAGACATAGTTTGAAGAAAACACCTGATGCTGACTGCTGGTCTCCACGAACACATATGCACACTCTACACACACACACACACACACACACGCACGTGCATACATGCACCACACATGATTTTTTTTCCAAAGGTAATCATGATTATCTCTAAAGCATTGTTTTGCAAAGCTTTTGTGAGGGGCCTTACTGGCTAACATGGCATAATAGAGCAGTCACTAACTTGTTTGGAAAGCTGAATATTAAAGTTTTGTGAAATAAAGCCCAGTTAGGGCATATTTAGGGAAAAAACTATTTGGCTGAGTTGGAGCAAATTATATGTATGTATGTATTTATGTATCACATCTCCTAAGCATCTGTTTTGTAGAGTAAAACTTTTAAGGTATTTTTTTAATTGACCAACATCTTTTTCAATGCCTGCATCAGAACAGCTGGAGTGGATTTTAGACTTTTTTTTTTTTTTTTTAAGGGAGATTTGCCTTTGGTCGTTTTGGTTCTGTGTTCATTTGCACACAGCACCTTTCATGGGATCCAGCAGTAAGCAAAGCCAACGATTCCCTACAAGTCCAGCCGCACAGATGAATGCACCAGAGGAGCAGACAAAGCTAGTAGCACACACATCTCAATTTTAAGATAATTCTTCCTTCTTCCTGGTTTTTTTTGGGGGGGGGGAATTATTACTATTTTTCTTAAACTTTGAAACAGTGCAAATAACCCATCGAGTGCAGTAGTGACGCAGGAAGCTGGTGTTGAGTGCAAACCCTAGCCGTGATTTTGCCAGGGTCACAGATATTTTCATTGCCGTCCCCTGGCATGGCACGAGGGGTGGTGGCGGCCTGGACAGGCTGCTGCTTTTGCTGCCTGGCACACCAGCCACATGCTTTTAGTCTTCAGAATAACAAAAACAGGAAAGGGAATCATCGCTCTGAAAGGCAAAAAAACATACGGTACACATTTTAATTCCCTGCGGGAGTTCCCGCGAGCTCTTCTCAGCGCTGACCTGCAGCTCCTGCTGCTGTCCCCGAGCGAGCGCAGGTGCCTGGACCACGGAGGAAGACCCCTGCCTCTCAGAGGAATCAGAAAGGCTAGGAATGAGATCAGCCACCATCCCAAGCAAGCAAGATCTGTTTCTGTTCCTCTCTTTGGCTGGACTCCTGCTCCAGGCCAATTTTGGACAATACATGACAGCATTGCTAAACCACTAGGTAATGTTTCATGGTGTTCTTTTTTATTCTCTAGTCAGTTTCAAGCTATTTGACTTCTAAACTCCCTGCCCCAGATGTGAGTCCGAACCGTGCTGTGAGGAGCGGGCGCATGCTGAGGCTTGCTGCTTAGAAAGGGAGAAACAGTTCTTGGGGAGCTCAATTCTTGCCTTCCCTGTACAGACCAGGTTGCTATGTGGAAAGGATAAGGCATCCTGACTCCACCAGACAAGGCTAGATTCCAGATCCACCTTCCCTGTTCATGGTGGAGAGTCTCACTAGCGTGGGGGTCTTGTTTGTGTAACTCTGGGATGGGTACATGGTGACAGTGCACACCCTGAAAGCTAACGTGTGGTTTAACATGAGTTCATCCCTTCATCCCTCAAGTATTTGTTTAGGGCACACAGGGGTAGTCTCTGTCCTTAAAGAGCACACAGGTACATGGAGCGTTCTCAGCTGTGTGTGTCACTGAGTCTGTGAGTCTCGGGTTCTCTTTTACCGGCAGAGCCTCGTTCCTTGTATTTAAACGAAGACTAAGAAAATACATGTAAAGTTCTAGCACAGACCCACTGTAAAAAGAACTCTTCCTTAGGTGCTCACTGGGAGAGTTTGTCCACAGGAGACTGGAGGCTCTTCTTGAGCCAAGGTGAAAGACAGGAAGGTGTAGGGAGCTGAAAGCAATGGTGTGCATGGCTGTGTCTGAGCCCGTCAGAGGTCCAGCCTGAGCTACATGGCTGTGCCTGAGCTCGTCAGAGGTCCAGCCTGGGCTGCATGGCTATGCCTGAGCTCGTCAGAGGTCCAGCCTGGGCAGCATGCACCCTGTCTAATGGAGAGTGGTCAAAGAGATCAGCAGGTCTACCCAACAAGAGCAGCACCCAAGGGTAGCTCTGTCTTCATCCGCGGGTCCCCTATGGACAGGACACCGTCACTTCCACAGCAGGGAGGGCACCAGAACAAAAAAAACAAAAAAAAAAAAAAAAGAGGGAAACTTCTAGAAGTTTCCTCTTATGGGTCAGAGAGGTGGGTAAAGGACCTGCTGCTGAGTCTGAGGACCTGAGTTCTGTCCTTGGGACCCCACGGTGGGAGGAGAAGACCAGCTCGTACACATGGTCCTCCAAGCCCCACATCACACGCATGTGCACGCACACGCATACACACACGCACATACACGCACACGATAACATTATAACAAATTTAAAAACTAGGTTTCCTCTGTGCTCTTAGATGCAGCCTCACAAATACAGCCCATTCTTAGAAAATACATTACTAACTTCAAACCTCAGCACATATATATACATATACATATACATACATACATATGTACACATACATACATATATGTACATATATATATATATTTGGTACTCTCTACCCACCTCTCCCTAAAGCCTGTCTCCCTACACCATCATTTCTAGGGCATGGGCAAAGCCACTTAGGCTCTACCTAATTAATAGTTCACAAAGTAGAACTGAAGAACACGGTGATGGTATTTGGGGAAGACCCACTTTGAGCACCTGCTTGGGCTGTAGTAAGATTGGGGAAGCCTGGAGAGTCCAGGGCTACAAAGGTGAGGGATTCACTCAACACTGAGAACCAACTGGCCTCCCCATTGTCCCGGGTCTTCCTGCTTCACTAGTGTGTAAGTGATGTCTAACCATCTAAGTCCCGAGCCGGAATTAACATGAATTATACTGACAGCTCCTAGATTTAGTGTGGAAAGGCATGAATAGATTATTCTGTGCTTGGTACGGCGGGACAGGTGGCCGTTGAGATGATGGGATTCTGGGAATAGAGTATTTTCTCAGCTGTCTGACAGCATGAGCGTCTAGGGCAGATGAGGCCAGGCAGTATCGTTTAGGCCAAGGTTGTGGTTCCCAGCCAGTCAAAACACATGCTGCCTTGAAGGGCGCCTCTGAAACTCCTGCTGACCCTAATTGTAAACTCCAGGAGAGCTGCCTGGGTCTTTTCTTATTTCAATCCCATCTCTGTCTCTCATTCCTTCTTCATTATCACTTTCTATCCTCATCCACCCTCCCCCCTTTCCTCTCTCCCTCCCCTTCCTTCTTTTCTATCTCCTTCTTCCCTTAGGATTTCCCCTCTGAATTTGAGTGAGAGCTAAACTAATCTCAATCCATAACAACCGAGCTTGCAAATGGTAGCAGAACTCAGTTCCTCTCCATCTGGGTTTCTTTGTACGCACTCACGGAGTCATGACGGGCCAGCTAGCCTGGCAGGTTTTCCCCTGGATAAGCTCTTCGGGTAACAGGAGACAATCTTGGGCGACAGCTATTAAGCTTTGTCATATATATACGTGTCCTCAGCCAATCTCCCACAGCCAAGGAGGCCAGAGAGAACTGAGAGCCTGTGAATCTTTTATGGCTTTACAGTGGGAAAGGATTAATATTTAGTCATGTTTGAGGCAAATAGGATGGGAAACAAATGAGGAATTTAGCGGGGAAAATGCTGCAGATATGCCGGAGAGAAATCACTGGGCATGGAAATTAAAGGGGTTTTGATGCAGCGTGACAATGGCATAATCTCTGCTCTGGGAGCTTCCCCGCTCTCCCCTGTTGGGGGGGTGGGGGGACTCTTGCAAACTGTGCCTTGCCATTGGGTCCCTCTGCAGTGGTTAGGCTCCTCACCCTTGTCTCAGGAGTCAGCAGGACCACATAGACATTTACTGCCCATGTCCTGGCCTCTCAGAGCCCTTCATACACTTCCTTGAGAAAACACTGGCATTTTGGCATTATAACCGATTATTTAATAAAACTAACCTTTTAATACGGCTTCATGGGTTTTCATGTCTTCTTTTTATAGAGGGGGCCGTCCACTTTTTTGGGGGGGGGGTTTCTCTGTATTGTTTTGGAGGCTGTCCTGGAACTCTCGCTCTGTAGACCAGGCTGGCCTGGAACTCACCTCCCGAGTGCTGGGATTAAAAAGGCGTGCGCCACCAACGCCCGGCTGGGGCCTTTCACTTTTAATAGATGTGTGGCCTATAGAAGCATATAAGGGCAACACTGTGACTTCCTCCTTTACTAAATAAAATGCTAATACTTAGGCCGTATCTTAATTAGAACCCCAGAGCATCCAAAAAAAAAAAAAAAAACCCTGCCCTAGCCGGGCGGTGGTGGCACATGCCTTTAATCCCAGCACTTGGGAGGCAGAGGCAGGCAGATCTCTGTGAGTTCGAGGCCGGGCTGGACCGATAATCTCCAAAACAATACAGAGAAACCCTGTCTTGTAAAAACCAAAAAAAAAAAAAAAAAAAAAAAGAACCCCAGAGCATAAAATATAGTATATTAACAGAATTGGCAAGTGAAAGCAATTTCAAGATGGCTAATCCAATCGTGAATTATGGATGAAATGTAAAGAAGTGAGTTTTACCATGTGGAAGCCAGTAACGTACGCAGCATTGGGAGAGTCATGAGATCATATTATCTTTCCTTTAGATATAGGCCGTGAGAAGCCAAGTCACTGGAGTGTTTGTAACACAGTGTGCACACTCACATACTCTATACACAGTTTTAAGTAAAAATAGGAAGGGGGCATTTGAAATGTGTACTCAGAGGCACACGCAATCAAAACAAAGCGAGTAAGCAGTGTGGATGGGCGTTTCTTTGTGTGTGTCAATTTTTATCCTGGTGTCTTATCTAAGGAAGAGAAGAGTTCAAGGGTAGACCCTCATCACACAACCTGGGATCTGTTGGCTTGAGATAATTCCTGTTGAAAGTGTCTTTTCAGAATGCCATTTGCTCTTTGACAACTTCATACTTGTGTACAGTGTATCTTGATCACGCCTACCCCTGACTCGCACACCTCAGTCCCTGTGTACACCCCAGAAAATATTCCCTTCCCACCTTCTTGTCCTCCCTCATCTGTTTTTTTTTTCTTGTAACTCACTGAGTTCCAGCAGTGCTGCCTGTTGGAATGCTAACTTATCTTGGCTTGACCCTGTGCGGTTCCTGGGCAGCACTTTTAGGACTCTCGAGTGAAATTTTGCTGATATCTTTAGGCTCCCAACAGCATCGGCTTTGGAAAAGAGGGTGAAACATCCATGACAGTGACCAAATCGATAAGGAATGACATCCCTTCCACCCAAGAGAATCTGCTGCAGTGGGCATTGGGCAACGGCTACAGTCCAGTGACGTCATACACAATGGCGCCTGCGGCTAATAGATTTCATCTCCGCCTTGAGAGCAGTGGTAAGTGTGATGTCTTCCTTCCGCTTGTTTCCATGTGATTGTTACTGTTTTTCTGCTGCCCAGTTTGATACTTTGTTTCACTGTAAAGCTTAAATTTATGCCGGCATTGGAGGCAACTGTAGCACACACATTCAGTGATGGAGAGTGGGCTGCACTCAGTCATGTTTGTCCTCGGTCCCCTGTGATTGAATCAGAGTGACCACTCAGAACCAAGAAGACCATTGGGAAGAAGCCTGTGGCCAAAGGCTGAAGTGTATAGGAAAATAGCCGTGGGGCTTCAGACAGGGAAAGGTTTTTATTCAGAGTGTGGCGGTAGAATTGACACTCCAGTTTGGCTAGCAGAAGCAGAGTCTGCAGGCCCTTGGGAGTTTCTGGAGTCTTAAAGCAGGTGTGATTTGAACCCCAAGTTCTCTGATCTCCCCACCCGTTCCTCACCCCGTGGTACCATGTGGTGCGGTACTGATGCACTGTAGCTCCCAGATGTAGGTCCCACCCAGCCTGACCGTGTCTGTACTGTTAGGGGAGACACTGCTTAATCTCCAAGCCTGTGCACCTGAGATTCCTTGCCAATAATCAAGAAAAAAATTACAGCAAACCAGTAGGATAGATATGAAGTTTTTTGTGTCTGTGGGGGGTGTGGTTGTCATTTGTTTGGTTTTTAATCAGTGTGCAGGTTAAAGGCACTCCCAAGCTGTGGCTTCCTTGGGACCCCTACAACTATAGCATCCATTTCAAAAGGTCATCTCTATTGATCATCTCTGCCTGTCTTGTCCTGAGGTGGGGTGTGGCCTGAGTCAGCTGGACTCAGATAACCCTAAATGCAGAGAGTCCTGGGGAAAAACACTAGTTTCTCCTTCAGTCATTGAAAATATGGCAACACTGCACATTGCCTTTATGGAACTCTCTCTAAGTGGCCCTACTCTCCCAGGGATGAGGCTCGAAAACACTAGGGTACCTGGATACCTCCTACGTTTTTATCAGTCAAAAATAAGGCAGGGTAATAATTCTGAAAGAACATTGTCATAGCTGCAGAGGACTCATCCAATATGCCAAAGACCTGGGCTTGATCCTTAATACTGCAAAATATAAACACTGCCAGTATTGTTTCAAGACATCTTTTGAGAAATGATTTTTGAAACCCCTAGAATAAAAGGAAGTATTTTAAGGGCTCTTGTATAGCCTGTTATTGCCCCACATAGCATAGATACACAGCTTATAGGGACTTAGGAATGGTCTGGCAGAGTGGGTTTCAATTGTGAAGGGGCCTAGAAGCCTGAAACCTTAACTGGGGGTTGCATTTTCCCGAAGCCCCAATGTGATTTTAACGTAAAGCCAAAGTTGAGGATCACGGTTATAATCCAAACTCTTACATTTTAAACCCTGGGAAACTAAGTCACGAGAGAAATAAGTCCTGTGTCTGAAACCACTCAGTTAGTTAGAACACCAGGGTCGGAACCCAGGTTCCTGCATTTTTCTTAGTCAATTCTGCGCCTTGCTCGTTCACTCTCGATTTTGCTCCCGCCCATTCTGTGGCTAGCCCCCCCTCTATGACCGCACGGCCTGGCACCAGTCACTCACGACGCTTCTTCCGTTTCCACAGAGGAGATGAGAGACCAGGAAGTCTACACCACTCCTCCAGAGCTCCGGATCCTGCTGGGCCCTGGCCACCTGCCTAGCCTGGACGGCCCACCCATCCTGGGATGGGAAGACCAAAATGGAGGTCTCCCCTTTCCTTTCCCGGACATCTCCAGGGTTCACCGTCCAAAGGGTCCCAGCATCCCGCTGTTTCCTGACTACAGGGAGCCAGAAGAGGTGCAAGGGGGCGTGGATGTCGCCTTGTCGGTCAAGTGTGACAGTGAGAAGATGACCGTAGCTGTGGACAAGGACTCCTTCCAGGTTGGTGGGTCGCCGCGGCCTCCTAAAACTTTCCCCAGCTAGCTGCAACTCTGCGTTTTATTTTTTCCCCAGTCGGATGGGCCACTTCCCCTTGGCTACGGCCCTCGTTCAACTTCCTGTTGTTCTCCAAAGAGGAGTTCAGATCCTCATATGTCAATATTTTGCTATTGGATTTCCAGCACCAATAAACACAGTCCTTGGGCTGTTGACAGGTGGCGGGGGAGGGGGGGGGGCGGGGGAGTACGGTGCAGGCCCGGGAGCCACCTCTACCTTGGGAAACAGACACCGCCTGTTCCTATGTGCGCTTGAACAGCTGTCGAGCCCTCCACTATGCCTTCGGTGTTTCCCATTTCAGACCAACAGCTACTCAGGGGTGGAGCTCACCCTGTTGGATCCCTCATGCAAAGCCAAGATGAACGGCACCCACTTTGTTCTGGAATCTCCCCTGAATGGCTGTGGCACTCGACACCGCCGGTCAGCCCCTGATGGTGTGGTTTACTATAACTCTGTGAGTACTCAGTGGCGTCGACTACGGGCGTTAGTCAGCGTCAGTCTTAGCACATCTCCGAAGATGAGCAGGGTGGGGACGCCGCCAGGTGTCAGTTCTCAACAAAATGGGGTGGGACTTTGACCCTGAACTCTTTGTTTTGGGATGCCTTTTTTTTTTCGGGATTTGAAGGCCCTGTTTTCTCAGCTGGAGTCGTGATATTCTCACACATTTCCTTCTCCCATCTGATGATGGTTCACCAGGAAGGTGACTATGCCTGTGCCATCCTGCTGTGGCCACACTTGGAGGGTCAAACAGACTAGTCCTGGACTAAAATCCCAAAGCCCTAGGTTATATATAGGTGGGCATCTCTGGACGGATATATAGTCTCTTGCTTGTTCAAAAGTGAGAGGGGACTCCTTCCCTTGTGAGTTTACCATGGGTAGGTAACACATAGCTGTGAGCTGCCCTGTGGGTGCTGGGAATTGAACCTGGGTCCTTCGGGAGAGCAGTGCTGTTAACCACTGAGCCATCTCTCCAGCCCCCGCCTCGAGAGTTTAAAGCCAGAAAAAGAATCCTGTTGAGATTACCAGGTCTCTCTACTTCTAAGAGACCCCAAATTTAAGAAACTATTTTTGGAGTTAACTGGGAAAGGGTTCCACAAGCACCCACCACACACACCTACACACCCAAATAATCCATTGCAGTCGCTAACTTTTTTTTGACCTTCAAGCAAGCTTTATTAGATCATAAATAAGAATCACTACACTTCCCCTTTTTTGTCTAAAATAAAAAGGCTATAACTAATATAAGAAAAACTATATGCAATAAGTACAGTAACTATATACAATATATAAATATAATTTTGCTTTCCCGAAATCATTTCTGCCAGAACATAATCTTTTCATGTGAAGCCTGTTCCCTTCAGCAAGGGAGGCTAGATGGTGAGCAATAAAATAATCCAAAGCATGAAATCTCCCCACAAATGATTCAAAGTACCAGTTTTGCAGGTTTGATTTTAAAACCCCAGATACAATGAGCGCCATGTGATAGCCATGCACTTGGTTTGGATGTTTTAAACTGATTTCCAAGTTAGCGCCAGGAAGAAATGGGGACCTGCTGAGTTTGAAGTTTCGATAGCCTCATGAGCAAAAGGATATCCTGGTCCTAAAAGCCACCTCTTTCTTGTATGCTTTTGAGGTCTTGACTGTTAAGAGCAAGGTATGTGTCCTCCCAGGTGTTGGTCTCCCATCCCCCAAGGCTCTCTTGCCTGACGGCTTCTTACTCCTCCCATTCTGTGACTGTTGTCACTGTTTGTAGGAATCTCCAGACTTCCTAGGTGTTTTTGTTTTCCATTAGGGTTGGCAATTCAAGTATAGGAAGTGGAAATAAATTAGGTTTTTTGTTTTTCCTGTGGAGTTGTGGTCTTCCATCTTATTCAGAACTAACCCGGTACAATAATTTAAGCCTATGTTAAGACAGGTTGTTGTGAATAGAGCATTTTCTTTTCTACACCCATACACACAAGAAAAGATAGTGGGAAGGAGTGAGAGCACCCTTACATGCACACACACACAGACACAAAGACACACACACACACAGACACACAGAGACAGACACACACACAGATACACAGAGACACACACAGATACACAGAGACACACACACACACACCCCAAAGATGAGAAAACTGACTCTATGGAAATATTAGGCACCGTGCTTCCAACTTACACCAAACTTTCTACAAACCTTACAAGGGCCAGTGAGATGATTCAGTGGGTAAGGCTCCCCCGCTGCCAAGGCCCAGGACCCACACATGGTAAAAGGAGAAAAACTGACTCGCGAATCGTTCTCGGATTACCTCATGCCACCGTTGTGCACGAAGCGCAATTCAGACATGTGAAAGATTCATAACTGATACAAATCAAAACGCACCTGAGGACCCACAAGCCGTGGGCAAGCCTGTATGCCGGCAGTCCCCACCAGCTCTACTTCAGTGTCTAGTTGTCGCCACTACTTGAAGTAACTTGCTATTCAACATAGTTATAAATAGATCTGTAAGTTTTTGCAAGGGGGAAAAAAATCTAAGATTTAGTTTAAGATCTCCATCTTGCTTTGAGCTTTTTTGTATTTTCTTATCACACGTTTCTTGTCTTAAGAAAAAAAAATGAAAGAAAAAGCTTGGAGAATTTGCTGTTGCCTATACGGTCAGATCTTCTGTTTGCGCTTGTTTCATGGGGACAGGGGCATGTGGCGTGGTATTTTCCTACCAACGGGGGCAATAGCTGTGTGTCCCCCGCTTTCTAGATTGTGATACAGGTTCCATCCCTTGGGGACAGCAGTGGCTGGCCAGAAGGCTTGGAGGACTTGGAGTCCGGTGACAATGGATTTCCAGGAGACGAAGATGAAGAAATCACCCCGCTGAGCCGAGGTGGAATTGTAGTGGTAGGCGTTGATTTCCCTCAGGCTCTCTGTGGTTTGTTTTCATTGGGAACTGTCAAAAAATAAAATAAGTAAAATCGCATGTAAAGAGAGGGCCAAAGCTCATCCTGTGACTGAGTTAGCCTCATCTGGCACTTTTCCAGTTTAACTGCAGCTTGCGGCAGCTGAGGAATCCCAGTAGCCTCCAGGACCCGCTCGATGGAAACATCACCTTCAACATGGAGCTGTACAACACAGACCTCTTTCTGGTGCCCTCCCCTGGGGTCTTCTCGGTGGCAGAGAACAGACATGTTTACGTGGAGGTGAGAATGGAGTGTTAGCCTTGGGTGCCCAGCCTAGTGCCCCCATGCAATTCCTGTAACATTGGCTAAAGAGCCTTGCGAGGTCTCCCCCTTCATCTAAGAAAGGGCTTGGCTCAGAAATACTCTTCCGGGTCACAGATGTAACGGGTTTGTGTATGTGTGTGTGTGTGTGTGTAAATGCCAATGAGCAAAGTGTGACTTCTACCAATGAAGTACCCTACTTGTTTTGACACCAACACTTTTAGGGACAATTGTTCCGTCATTCAGTGTCGGAGTTAGCCACGGCTGCTTTCAGACTGCCTCACACACTCCGTCTTGGGTCTACTTTCAAGTGAAAAGCTGTGTGCTTGTGAAAACTGTCTCTGCTGAGTCGTTATCTAAGCGGCCTCACATGTTCATCAAAACCGTTTTCCCCATCTAGAACAGCAACCGTCATGAATAGCTTAAATCTGGAATATCTATGAGAATACCAGATAGCGGTGGTGATGATGAAATAATAGCAGCTAGTATGTATTGACGTTTTATGATGTCCCAAATGCAGTTACGAATTATCATCAGAATGAGCTTTACTTATTAAGAGTGGTCCTTATTAAGACCCAACTTTCAGACGAGAAAATTAAGACACAGCTGTCTGTACAGAGTCCTTCCCCCAGGGGCCATGCTGTGGACCACCGGGTGCTGCTGTAACTCCCCCTTCGAATCGCCATTGGAAAGGGAAGAAAGCTTGACTTCATGTCAATGTCAACATCTAAGTTCACAGACACCGTTCTGGAGAAGGTGGTCCTGTGGCAGCAGGCTGCCTGTCTGCTGTCTGTGTACAGTCTGCAGTGTCCCCATAGTGGACACGGGTATCACCGCAGGGCATTCGTGTGACAGTCTGGCTGCTGGCGTACTTCACAGTGCGGGGGAGGAGGGGGGAGATGCTTGAGGGGTACAAGTAGCATGCTTCCTAGGCGACAATCGCTGCACCGCAGAGCACCTCTGTCTGTTTCGCAAAGACAGACAACGAGCATCGACACTAGGTTGGAGTCCGCAGGGCGTCCCCAGAGTTGGCCCCTCCTGCTCCACTCCCTGTGGCGAGCGCATGGCAGGGCTCTGGGGGAAGGCACTGTCTGTGTGTGCCAATCCTAACCGTGGGTCTCTCTCCTTCCGCCTTTTCTGTATTCACCGTCCACGAGCATCACCCTCTGCCAGTGACTTCCCAACTGTATCACAGGTTGGAGAAGACACTGCTTAGCTGTAGTTTGTTGTTTTTCCAAGCATATGCCTACACCTGCTCATGTATGGCTTTGCCAATTTTATGCTAGCCAGTGGCTAGTCTGCCTTCTGTCCCACCCTGGATATTTTCAGGTTTTTTTTTTCTCCTTGCCCCTGGAGTACTGGATTACCTGAATTATATTGTTGGTAGATTCCTCCCTCCCTTTCCATCTTCATTTTCAGTTCTATATCTTTTCATAAGTCGTATTTTTATAGTTAAATTTGATTTGATTGAAAAGGTAGTTAAAACTTTTTTTTTTTTGCTACTTTAAACATCAAGTGTGTTAAGGATTTGGGGCGGTAAAGTTGTTACAAACGATCTCAAACTTGATTGAAACTACCCCCAACATGTGAAAGGATCTATAAATGTTTTGCTAAATAGGATAGCAACTGACCATGCCTTGTCTTTCTGTTTAGACTCTACCTCTGGTAAGGAATTTTTTTTTTACTTAAAATAAATCTTCATAAATCATAGGCTTAATCTGAAAAGCCGTTTCTTGGTTTCTTCTCCCGCTGCCCCTCCTTTAGTCTTTTCTGGACCCTTCCACTCTCTCTAGACCACAGTGCCTTCCCTTAATCCAAGATCATTCCTGGGTGATCGTTGGTGATATGATGGCAGTTCTTTTCAGGTCATTTGGCTCAGTGAGTTAGCATCTACCAACCAACACTGGGAGTTTTGCTGGCTGGGAGCCGAGCTGTTTGCATAAGCCTTTTACTTTGTTTGTCTCCCTAGCTGCGTCTTGTACATTAGTTACTGCCACCATCCTGTAGGTGAGATGTGGAGAAAAAAAGAGTTCTTGGTGTGCGTATCAGCAGCAGAGTATGTGGTTGCCGTGGTCTGGTCTTGTTCTTGAACCTGTAATCATCTTTCCACCATTCACTTGCGGCAGCAAGCAAGACTTGCTAAGATTTTTCTCCTCCCAAGCACACGTGAGACAGACTAGACAGACATTCTGCCATTGCATACCTTTGAAAGAAAAGGGCTGACATATTTCTATACTGAAGACTGAGTTTGTGTTAAGTGACACTTTTTATTTGTAGCACGTATGTCTCTGTAAGATAGAATACCTTGTTCATCAGAAACAGCTCAGAGACAGTGAAAGTAAATATTTATGGGACATCAAACAAGGTGACAATATCCCGTTTAGCTCCACCCTTGTTCACGTTGAGGGATCTTTTGAGCATGCCTCCGATTGAGGGTTCCCGCAGTGTCGGGGGTTTCCCCTGGGCGCTCTCCAAATGCCGAGTGTGTTTTTATTATCTCTGTCTTTTTAAGCATCTGGGGGCTCTTGGCCTATGAGTAAGGACTTAACTTTATTTCTAAAGTGTTTGAGTTTATCGTTTATACCTAGCTTAGTCAAGGAAAGAGGCAACAAAGTCAGAAGAGCAGTTAACAGCGCATCATGAGTCAAACAGTGGAGCCAATCTTGTTCCAGGGATTTTAACAGAGTTCAGGATAGCTAAGGTTTGCACGCTGTGTAAATTCGGCTAAGCATTCCTTCCAGTGTCTAAACAAAAGAACCTTAAGATCTGGCACACAAACGTTTTGTAAGAGGGAAGTATAAATGAGTTGAGAATGTCTCTAGGTTAGTTCTCCCTTTAACTCCCACCCTGGGATGAAAGAATGACTGGGAGAATTCTCGGCAAGGCTGATCTGGTGCCACGTTGGTGATGGCCACCAGGTCACACTCTCCCCGATACAAGGTGCCACAGGCCTGCTCACTGACAAAGAGGGACGCATCTTTGACTTCCTGGCTCTGCTTTCTCAAGCAGTCCTGCCTGCCTCGGCCATGTGCATTCCCCTCTGTCCTGAGTTACTGGGCAACATTTTTAAAAACCTGTCTTGGTAGTAATCTGGTATGGTGACATTCAGGGCTTTGCCTGTATTTTACTTATTTTTGGAAAATCCACTCAGGTGCATAATTTGCTTTTATTTATTTTTTAATCTCTGAGAACTTATAGAGGGGGTCAGAGAGACTTTAACCCATCTTGTATTTGTAACTCGTGTGGTAGCATTTGGATTAAACAGTTCGCTGTCACTCATGTCGAGTTTAAATGGGAAACACCTTTCAATCCGTCGGTGTGTGTCCCCATGACAGTTAGAAAATGACAAACACTGTTACGAGGACAGAGCAGTGTCTCCCCCAGAGAACTGTGTTGGGATATTAGCCTGCAGGCTAGAGTTAAATAAGACGCTGGCCCGTTTCTGACTTCTTCTCTGTGCTCCCTTTGCAGGTGTCCGTCACCAAGGCTGACCAAGACCTGGGATTTGCCATCCAGACCTGCTTCGTCTCTCCGTATTCAAACCCGGACAGGATGTCCGACTACACCATCATCGAGAACATCTGTCCCAAAGATGAGTCCGTGAGGTTCTACAGCCCCAGGAAGGTGCACTTCTCTATCCCACAGGCCGAGACGGACAAGAAGCGCTTCAGCTTTGTGTTCAAGTCCGTGTTCAACACCTCCCTGCTCTTTCTTCAGTGCGAGCTGACTCTGTGTACCAGGAAGAAGGGTCCCCAGAAGCTGCCAAAGGTGAGTGGGCTGTCGTCTGTTTGGACTGAGACGTGGGGGCGCTTTCAGGTCAGGAAGATGCTCTAGCAGGAAAGTGTAATCCTAGTTAGAGCAGGCTGAGGGTTTTAGTTTTGAGGGTTTTGTTGTTTTTGTGTTTTTTGAAGCCTTCCGACTGAAGTAAGAGTCTGAACAGGGAATGAAGTGCTTTGGGGTTTTTGGAAGATAAATCCTGACGGCATGGTAGTTTGTTTTTCCGTATGTGCTTAGCCGTACCTTAGAGTGATAAATCACAGCATTGGTTTCCAGAGAGGGAGAGGCCTGGCCCCGGCTGTCGGTCAGATAGCATGGCCGTGCCAGGAGAACAAGGAATCGAAACGACAGGATCAGTGAGGATTAATTTTTCCAGGTCCCACTGAGACTGGGATTTCAATTGTTTTTTTGACCTTCTCTCTGTGTTGGGTTATAAGATGGCCTTATCTCGAGAGGGTTTCTAAGGGAAATTAACAAATATTTTACTTTTGCCTGGTTTCTTATCGGTTCATCGAATTGCCTCACGCCATTGCCCATATTAAACCGCCAGGCTCTGTTGCCATAACAGAAACAAAAACCCTTTGACCTTGTTGGAGCAGCCACTGCAGGGGCGGCGGTGTTGGGTCAGTTATGACACCGTGTTAGGTCTGCCTTGTGTGGGACGGGCATCTCCTGCTGTGGCTTCATTTCCATGACCTGGTGTGATTACGTGTAATCCCCCCCCCCCGGCCCGTGTGTTTATTCTGTGGCTGTGACACACAGTCTAAAAACTGGATTCTACTTCTCTTGTAATCGAAGTTCTGCTGGCGTCTCAGAAGCCCAGAGTCGGGCTGTAGCATTCATACGTATGGAACTCTCCTATATAGAGACTGGAAGAAAAAGTAGGGAAGGAAAAAAAAAAGATCTATTAAATAGATTTCCTTTGACCTGAATTCCTTGAATCATTTCCCCTGAGCAGTCACCGGTCTACAAATAAATGCACAGCAAATTACCACCCCCCCAGGGAACATATCCCAAGGCCGTGTTTGCTTATGGAGGCCACGGCTACCTTAGTCCTGTCTAGAAAAGAAAGTAACAACGCACGTGTCCCTCCTGGGCAGAAATACAGACGGGCCGTCAGGTTCATGCAATAAGCGTGTTGAGGAGGAACGGTTAATGCCACCTCCTTCTTAAAGGAAGCGTCTTCCTGTTCCTAGTGATGCCCGAAGGCTCCTGTGACTCTCTAGGAAAGGATGCCAATGACCCCCAAGCTCAGTCCTGCCCTTTGCTCTCTGGCTCAGGGACAGCCTCTGAGACAGAGTTAGCATCGTGTGTTCCTATTTGACTAGAGGGCTAACCGGACAGAGAAAGGAAACTGAATGACACATCTTGTCAGCAACATGCCTTTCCCTCTCCAGGAAAACTCTTTTCGGGGTGTTTGGGGCAGGGCTGTGTGTCTTCTTACACTGTGTGTCTGCCTTGTGTGTGGCCCGGAGAAGCATACACTTTTTCAGATATGGCGCCCCCCGCAACATGTCCCTGATACGTTTCAAGACTTAAAAGTAGCTAGAAACCGCTGGTCTCATACTTTCATGCCTGGGTGACCCATTAGAGCATGCGCTGAGCATGCGTGGATTAAGTGTCTGCACCAGGAGAAAAAAAAGAGTCCAAACCAAAAACAAACAGGAAACAGGTTAATTGTGGGAAGCCCGATTTTGTAGAGCGTAGAAGAAGATCCAGCAGGCATGGCAGTATGCTTACCGTTTTGGGTAACAAGAATTCTATCGTCTTTGTAACACAGTAACTGCAGTTTCCCACAATCACAGACTGTAGACATTATCACAAACTATTTGTACGAGACCGCTATTGTACGGGGCCAAGAGCGTCCACACCTGCTGAAATTTCTAACTTTTGTGGGGAAGGACCAAGGGGGGGGGATACTTGTAAGCTGTCCATTGATGTTGGCATCTTCTGGCGCAGCTGGGCCTGCCTTGCTGGCCGCCTGATTATTTGCGGTCCTTTGAAAAGTGCACAGATCTCCCGGTTTTCCCCATGGCTAGCAGCGGTGAGCTGTCTGATAAAGCAGCCAGAAGACAACCGTGTGCAGGGGCTGGTGACTTTCCTCTGAGCCATGACTGATGTGTGCTCTGCCCATCTGCAGTGTGTGACACCTGACGAGGCCTGCACCTCTCTAGATGCCGCCATGATCTGGACCATGATGCAGAATAAGAAGACGTTTACCAAGCCCCTGGCTGTGGTCCACCAAGCAGATTATAAAGGTGAGAAAGGGGTGGGGGCGGGGTTTTAAGGCCTGCTGCTCTCAGAAGGATCCCCAAAACCCACATGGGGTGAGGGGGAGAGATGACCCCTGCAAGGTTCCTCTGACCTTCATTTGCGTGGTGCGACACACGTATGAACACACGCATGTACACGAATGCACGTAGTGACTTCCTCTAGCCTTCCCTTACATGGTATGACACGTATGCACACAAGCATGCATACAGACAACACAGAGCAAGGTTCCCTCTGACTTTCGTTTGCATAGTGTGACACACACATATGCTTCTTCTGCACACACGGAAGTACTTGCATGGTGTGACAACATATGTACATACACACAGTAAATACTTTAATAAAAACTTCAGTTCTGTAAAAATTGAAGCCCAGTTTTATCCAAAGAATAAACCAGGGCTGGTGGGATAGCTCAGCAGGCTAGAGTTGTTTGCCGTGAAGCCTGACTGCCCAGGTTTGAGCCCTGAACTCACATGGCAGAAGAAAACGGACTTCCCCCAAATTGTCCTCTGACATCCAGCCACATGTGTTCCACATGGTGCACACATGCACAAGTACACATACCCATTTATATATGTTACACATCTGTAACATATATAGATGTAAAAAAAGTTAAAGGCTAGTCAATTTAGAAAATAATTCTTTGCCCCAAGAGATTTATAAAGAATAGATCAAGGGGCCAGAGAAGTAGCTCAGTGGAGGGGTGCCAGGTGACATGCGGGAGACACTGGGGGAGGGGTGCCAGGTGGCATGCGGGAGACCCTGGGGGAGGGGTGCCAGGTGGCATGCGGGAGACACTGGGGGAGGGGTGCCAGGTGGCATGCGGGAGACACTGGGGGAGGGGTGCCAGGTGGCATGCGGGAGACACTGGGGGAGGGGTGCCAGGTAGCATGTGGGAGACACTGGGTTCCATCCTAAGCACCACAAAAGAATTAGGTCATCATGAAGGCTGGCTCCCGCCATATTCCTCTCCACTATGTTCAGATGTGCTTCCCTGGGTCTGTGGCATGCTGGGACTTGCAGTCTTCATGTCTCTGCTGGCTCCAAGCTACCATCAAAACGATAGACACCTCAGGGAGCAGTTATAATCTGTGACCATCCTCCATTTAGGGATACTGGCAGGGAAAAAAGTTTTCAGAACTGTGCTGCTCCTCCTCACATCCAGGGCTTCCGTTCCTTCGTGTGTAAGAACACAATGCTCACCAAGCTGTGTTGAATAGGCGAAAAGAAGGGACACGTCCTGAAACGTGTGGCGTCAGCACTAGGAGGACAGGCAGGGCCAGACAACCAACGGGGAATCCCGAGGACTGTCGGGAGAACATCACAGCACCAGGGGCATGAGTAAGCCAGGATGTGTCAGGCAGCTGTCAACAGCTGAGGGGTGGGACCACACGTCCCATGGGTGATCTGCGTAGTTACAGATCCTCCCTGTCCAGAAACAGCCTGCCTCGCTCCAGAAGCCTTGCTGTCAAAGGGTGTCGAGCTGAGAGAAGGCTGGCGGGGTGAGAGAGGGGAGGTGGAGCTTGCGTGGGTAAGGTATTTTCAGCACTGGAATCGAAGACACCATGTCCCACCACCCTGAAGGGCAGAGAGAAGCCTAGCAAAAGCCAGTGGAGGAGCAGCTTGGTCCTGGCTGCTGGACATTCGAGGGGGGCATGGTGACTGGTACTGACATCAGATCTGGGGTTAGCGTGCCCCCTGGGATAGTACTTTGGGGCTGGGGTTGGCGGACTAAGCCATGGGTGGTGGTTCCGGAGCAGCCAATGAGCTCCTAGAAGAGGTGGTGGGTGAGTGCTGGCCAGTCTCTCAATGCCTTTGTCAAAGAGGAGAAAAAAGAAGTGCTCACCCCTTCAAAAAGGCAGGAGAGCAAACCCGGAAGTCTAGGGCACCGCCCTTACTCCCTCCATGCCCAACCGGCTGTGGTGGATACTCACAACCTCCCCGTTTCGCGTTCTGCGTCTGGAGAGGGGAGGCCAGAACAGGGGACACGTAGAAGCCCTTCAGGCCCCAAACGCTCCTCGGCAGAGCTGTTGGGAGGAGCAACCATCCTAAACTCAGGGTGGACATAACCAGATGTTTGTTGGTCTTTGTCATGATGTTGTCACTGGTGGCCTCGCGGTCACCCGGAAGGTGCGACAGGCGGCTGCCTCACTGCGTTGCCCAAACACCACCACCTTTCGCTGCTGAGTGTAGGGGAAAGGAGCACGGATAAATTGTGTTGCGCAGAATTCATAGCTGGGCAACAGCTGGCTGTGTTGCGTGCTGTAAAAGTCGTTAACAATAGCAGCAGCCACCTCGGTCCCCATTCCCTTAGCCCTATTTCCAGAGCCCTCCTTCAGCTGGTAATTGAGCGCAACAGCTGGTCGTGCCCTGTGCCAGACTTAGGCATTAATATTACAACACTATAACTTCCAGCAATTCTTTCATTTTTTAAAAAAAAAAAACTCCAGCGGTATTTTTCCCAAGTAATTTCTCTTATAAATTAGGTAATTACCTTTATTTATACTTAAGAGTCATTATACTGAGCCTTCAGTGTTTTCTTTACATAAAAGTTCAAGAGGAGAGGTGTTGGTGTTTTGTTTTTTAACCAGATTATCAAGGCAATTTCACGAGATTCGCTAATGGAGGTGAGATTTTAGTGGCGATGCAGTGGGCAAACAGTTTATGGCTTAGGTTTGTGAAACAAATTGAGGAGGTTGAACTACAGTGCCAGCCTTCCCAAGGGGCTGTATGCAAATCCGTCTTCCTTGGCAGGAATTAGGTAGGTTTTTTTTTTTTTCGGCTCTATGACTCCCTTTCACCTTTTATGTTTATTTTCTTTGGCTCTGAAATCGTTCCTGTTCGTGTAGGTCGCTGAAATCGGTTTCTCTTGGCGCACAGGGCATTGGAATATTTTTGGGAAAAGGCAGGTGATCATTGGTCCAGTAGCAATGGCTTATTTAAATAATAGTAACTAACGTTCTTTCTGGGCATGGGAGATCGGGCATGAACCCTGGGGTAAGATTTCCCCAGCAGCTTCACCATCCAGGTGTCGCCCCCTCTTGATGTCCATGCCAGAGTCAACTATCCCCTAGGCATTTGGTCCATCTTTTTTGCAGCGGAGTTTTCTGGGACCACAGACGTAGGCAGAGAGCATCAAGCACCACTGCAGATAATAAGGACATCTCCAGGCAGTGTTTCTTCCTCTGTGGGCAGGGAAAGGGGCCGCCAAAGCTGCGTGAGTAATTCTAGGCTCTTCCAATGGGCCACCATTTTTAGTGGAACTCAACATTCGTGGAGTTGTCGGTCTTGCGCGAGGCCCTGTGCTAAATGCTCAGGGTGTTGGTAGAACTCAATTCTCTCAGCAGCTCCGTAGAGAGAGCGCGGCAACAAACTTGGCCACACACTTTTAGATAGAGCCGACCAGGAGTCAAAACCATTCCTGTTTTTATAGATCTTTTGCAAACATGTCCTATATGTGGTTGGTGTTTAATAACTGCCAGGACTATAAGGGAGCTGCCTCCTCACCTCCATTCCCTTCCAGTCCTCCCCTCCCTCACCCCATGTCCCGCCGGCAGCGAGACAGGACTCAAGCAGCCTAAGGAATAGGGGCTGAGAGTCAGATGAAAAACTTGAGAGGAAAACAGAACACACATTTCTTGACAGGGTTAGAGAGTTAGGGTGTGTTCAAAAGTGCAGACTCAGACATTCTGTGACTTGATGACTTAAACACGCGCACACGCGCACACACACACACACACACACACATGCGCGCGCGCGCGCACACACACACACACACACACACACACAGAAGACACAAATGGGTGAGGCACATAATGGCTTATGGCAAAACAAAATAGTTGAGATGGTGCCATCGTGGCTGAAACGCTTCAGAATATTGGCAGGTTTCCCAACTTGCTATGATTTATACTCAGCTTCTAATCCTCAGCAAGTTAAACTTTTCTGGATTTTTCTCCGCACTCAAAAAATAGAAGCACCTACCCGTCATGGGCAATCAGTAAACGTGGATTTCTTCCATTTCCTCTCAGCCAAACTGGGGGTCTTTTAGGAGGGGAAGGAGTATTGGGAGACAGTTTCGAATGTCAGTTGGAAGTTAATCTAAAAGAGGCGTGACATTTTGGAACATGTTTGGATTTTCCAGAACCAAAAATACTCCTAAAAAAAGAAAGTTTGTCCTCAGGTTAAGGACGAGATGAGGGAAGAGTAGAAACGAGAAGACAGAATGAAGTACTAGGCCAGAGAGAGCAGGGTGTACAGCTCATTATTCCGGCTGCTTCGTGCTTTGAAAGCCTGTTTATTTAGAAGATCTTTAAATGTATGCAAAAATAGAGTGAGCCCTCCAGGAAAACGCCATCCAGTTTTAGCAGCTACATATCCGCGGCGAACCCTGTTTGACCACCTCCTGTGGTCCATTTGTGCGTAAGGAAACCAAACAGTTTTGCCATCAATAACCCAGGAGATACCTCTGAAATTATTTATGAAGCATCAAAGGATCTTGAGAAGGCTGGGCATGACGGAGCGAGCCCGCCTTCAATCCCAGCACTTGGGAGGCTGAAGCAGGTAGATCTCTGTGAGTTCCAGGCCAGCTGGGGCTACCTAGTGAAACCCTGTTCCAGAAAGGGAAATCAGAAGATCTTGAGGAGAGGGGGCACCAGTGCTTAGATCATTTAGGAACGCCGCTCTGAGACCAGTGTTTGGCTTCTGTGAGGAGAGAACGAGCAGAAGAACATGAAATATGATACGCCGGGTTGTTTATTCTGAAACTGTGTTTACTGAGTCCCTGATACTAAAGCCTTTATGGCACAACATTTCTCTCTCCGAATAGCATCTACCCAGGGCCGGATAACTCTGATGTGGGTGCACTGTAGACTATAAAAGTATCATCCTTCATTTCTGTCCAGTAGATGCCGATGTCCACCCCCAACCAAGCTGTGACCACCCACTATGATTCTACAAGTCTCCATGTTTCCTAAGAGTGCCCCCTGCCCCCAACCCCCAGGGTGAGGACCATTTCTGGCAGAGCACAGATATGTTAACAGTCTATGCAAAGGCATGTCATAAATACCGAAAAAAGTTCCTGGAGAGGGCCAGAGTCAGCTGAGTAAGGCTGGAAAAAAAAATGTTCTCCAATATCTGCAAGAAAGATGTGGTTTTCTGGCAGGGCAGGGTCCCGCTGCCCTTCTCTGTCCCAAAGAGGCTCGCAGATGCTATAGTAATTATGAAACTGTTGGCTGTTGACTGTGGTTTCTTATTGGCTAGCTCTGTCTTAACTATTAACTCATAACTACTTATTTATGTATTTCTACATGGTCTTATCTTACCGAGAATGCCTGACTTGAATCCCCTCCCGGGATCACACAATGACTCCTCTCTGCCTCTCTTTCCCATAATCCTCCTCATATCCTAGTCCCACCTATCTTGCTGCCCTATTGGCCAACAGTGTTTTATTTATCAACCAATAAAACATATATGCAGAACATTCCCCATCAGCCGCACAGAGTCATCCCCACCCCAGTGTGTGCCAGTTTGAAACTATGATTCTTTGTGGGTCTTCTCAGGCCTGCAGTGTTTACAAGAACCCATTTAAAATGGTAGGCCAATAGCTGTGGTCAGTTACTCATGCATGACCTACCCCAGACGTTGCCGGTTGGTGAAAGCCATGCCTCACTCTCTGAAGAGGGGAGATTTTTGGTTCTAGAGGTAAACCAAAATTTGTCCAGAGTATGTGAAAAAGATTTGATCCAGAATGTTGATTACAGTGTGTTCTTTCTGAAAAGAAACCCGCTGTTAAAATTCTCTTTACAGCAACATCTAGGATTCCTTCCTAACAGTCTTTTTCCTAAGTAAACATGGCTGCTCCTTTCTTTTTAGCAGGCGGGTTCAGTTGTGGGGCTCTGGAAGAGATGGAGTTATTTTTGTTAGGCTCGGGGGTTACGGGCAATTGGGGAGCAAGAAATGTTAGCAGATAATTCCTGAAACCTCAGCTTTGCAGCATGGGCACGAATGGTCATGAAGAGGCTTGACACAAGGAAATAAGGCCTGGATGTTTCTGTTTAGCTCTCTGGGAGGGCCCCATTTGGGGTGAGGGGAAGAGTATTAGACCACAACGTAAATCCATTAAGAACTTTTAAACAATACACCATCCATCAAAAAAGGGCCTTGCCATAAAACCCAAATTCTTAGATGTGAGGTCTCTCTCGCGGAGAATTATTCTTTTTAAAGCACTTGGGGATTCTGAGTAACCGCAGCGGAAGGCTGGATGGACCTCTTCCCAGAAGTGTGTATATGTTTCTTATGTGATGCCACACGGTTGAGACCTCCAAAGTGCCTTTGCATTTAGTTCAGAGAATCAAAAGCTGTTACTTTCTTGAGAGTAGGTGGATTCTGTGGTTAGACGCTTGCGCACTTCATAGAGTTCCTAGGGGTGTGAGGTAAGAGACGTTGACTCTGTCTACTTTAATGTATTACACAAGTCTACGTGTGTCAGTGAGTGTTATTTGTTGCTGCCAATAAGCTGATACCCTGGGAAGTGTACTTTAGGCAAGCACTCTACCAGCTAGACTATATCTCCTGCCAGAAAAATGCATCTTGCCTGTCTGATGTGCTTAGAGGTCAGAAGAGGACATCCGATCCCCTGAAACTAGAGTTACAGATAGCTGTGAGCCACCATGTGGTTGCTGGGAAATCAAATCCAGGACCTCTCTGGAAGAGCAGCCAGTGCTGTTAACCACTGATCGATCCATCCCTCTATAGCCCCCTAGGGAGGAAAATGCATTTTCATAGGTGGTTTAATGAGTGTGAGAGTTCCACCTACCAAGTTGTATCTGTCTTCCTAAGATTACGTTCTAGCTTCATTTCTGCTGCTGTGATAAAATACCCGAATGAAAACAGCCACACAGAAGAAGAGGGGCTTCTCTAGTTTGTAACCCTAACCCTAGTTTGTAGTCCGTCACTGGGAAGAACTCGAGGCAGGAGCATGTGACATCTAGACACATCACAACCCCAGGTCCTTCAAGAGCAGAGAGAAATGTACACATGCCTGCTGCTTGCTTGTGTATACTCAGCTCCCAGGTTGGGCTGAATCTTCCCACATCGATTAACTTAAGATAGCCCCCCCAGACATACTTACAGACCACCCAATATAGACAGTCCCTTAGTGAGACTCTCTTCAAACCAAACCGTCACAGACAGGTTCTCACTAAGTGGGTCAAACTGGCCTGTTGCCACTGTGTGTCAAAGATAGCCTCAAAGCCATGGTCACCCTGACTTCCTTCCACCTCCCGGTGTTGGGATTATAGGGTTGCACACTGTGCCTGGCCCCCGGATTAATGGTTAAAACACCTTAGTTTTCTTAGTAATGGTATTGAAGTATAACTTGCATGTATCCCCATCAAAGGGACACCATGGTGCTCAGGTCCAGGGATCCATACAGTTACCCGCTACTTCCTCATAACTGGACTTGGTCCAGTTCACCAGGCAGCGGCGGTGGCGCACAAGCCTTTAATCCCAACACTCAGGAGGCAGCAGATCTCCAAGTTTGAGGCCAGCCCGGTCTACAGAGCCAGTTCCAGGACAACCAGGAGAGAAACCCTGTCTCAAAAAACAAAACCAACAACAACAAAGAACTTAGTACGAAAGGAGATGGGATTCTATCAACCTTATTATCCTTATTTTTTATAAAGGCCAACTTGCATTGTTTTGGTCTGAATTCCACAAGTTTTCCTCTATGAAGTCAAAGACGAAGTGTGCCCTTCCCGTTGACGGATGATGAAGCTGAGTATACACCACGTTTAAACTCTAAAGAGAAAGGTAGTGTCTGAGCCAGGGTTTTTTTCTATGAAAAGCTGGATAGATAATGGATTTGGTTTGGGGACTATTTAGCCCCTGTCTCAAGTGTCCAGTTCTACTGCTGTGACAGGAAAAATGGCCCAGGACCACCGGACACTGCTCATGGAGCAAACTTGAATTTCCTGTCATTTTCACCTCGTGCAGTGTTCCTCTTTTTCTCCCTTAAATAAATCATTCCAAATTACAATTTCCCATCTCGGGCCACGGTGTCCTCGCCCTAATTTAGGCTCGTCTCACGGTGGAGAGCATCGAGCACCGCATATAAGCAGTTACTAAATCAGTTTCCCCCAGCTAAGGACAGGGACCGCCGCCCACCCCCCTTCCCCCATAGCCCATGAAGCAGGAGTCAGAAATGGTGGTTCAGCCCTTTTTCCCTGATGCTTCCCAGCTGTGAACTTGGGCTAGTCACAGGGTATCAGAATCTCAGGCTGCTCATTTGTAAAATAGTAAAAATTGCAAATTCCTCTTCTGGCTGCCTCAAAGGACTAGGTTTAGGGTCGGTTAAAACCTTGGCCTCGTGGCATCATAAGACCGTGAAGCCCTGCAGAACTGTTGGCGTTATTTTGGTCATCTTAATTTGTTGTCTCCTCCGTTTTCCAAAAGGCTGTCACAGCATTTTAATCACCCTTCACCAAGCATTCCTGGAAGTCTGACTGTATGCCTCTCTGAGGCTTCCCCTAAAGGCAGGACAAGAAAAATGTTGGGACCCTCGACGCTCCTTGCCACTCTCTAGCGTGTTAAAAATGTGACCTGTGTCGCAAGAAAAGGGGGGGATGAGCAGCTGTGGGAGAGGTCAGCCCTGAAGGGGAGAAACGGGGCTAGCCAAACAGAAATTAGCTTATAAAGTGGTAAATTGGGGACAGATAGGAACCAGAGGGGACATTAAATAAGGAGGGGCCACCAGCATCAGTGAAGGACTTGGGAAATTGGGGGAGGGGCTGTGTTTCATGCTAAACAGACTGAATTTGTTTTTTTCTCTGTACACAACGAATAGTCACTAGAGAATCCATTTTGGAAGAATTGTGCAGGAGAAAACATTTGGAACATGGTAGAAAGAGGGAGGGTCTTGTATTGCAGAGGCGCAGGGCAGAACTAAACCCTGTGGTTCAGGAGATTAGAAACCAAGTTTTGTAGCTCTGGCTGTCCTGAAACCCTGATCACCATGTAGACCACACCAGGCTCGGCCTCGAACCCACAGAGATTCACCCACCTCTGCCTCCCAAATGCTGGAACTGAAGACTTGTGCCACTATGGGCTAAAAGCTGTAGATTCTTAAGAGTATTTTAGAAGGGGGACGGTGTTGTGAATGTATCCGAGAAGCATGGTATTGGAGGTGTTGAACTCTCGTGTTCATAAAGATGAATACATGCACGCACCGTCAGAATCAAAGTCCTTACATTGAGGTGCTTGCCTTCAACTCTCCTTCAAATTGGAGAGCCCCTGGGATTGGTCATCAGCAAAATGCAATGCCCAAGATTTGTGAGATGTGCTTTTGGTTACCTTTGGTTACCAGTGGTTTCACAGGGTATTTATGATTCTGGGGCTAGAGAGGTAGCTCAGCCATTTAAGAGTCCTGGCTGCTCTTCCGGAGGACAAAGAGGCTCAGTTCCCAGCACCCAAGTCATGTGGCTCATAGCCACTCCAGCTCCAGGGGATCCAGCACACTCTTCTGGCCTCTAGTAACCTGGGAACCTGGGAACCTGGGCACCTGCACGCGCGCGCGCGCGCGCGCGCACACACACACACACACACACACACACACACACACACACACACAAGCTTACTAACAGAAAAATGCCCTTCTGCTGAGTCTGATGATCCCTTGCGTAAGTGGAATTCATTATGACTTATGCTTTTGTTTCAGAAAATGTTCCAAACGCTAAGGAGGAGTCCAATCCAGTTCCCCCCCCTCCACGTAAGTCTTTGTGCAATTATTTCCAAATAATGCCTCTGGGCTTTTTTTCTAAGAATGTGTTGGTTGTGGAACACTTGCCAAGCTGAACTGATAAAGCAGAGCTCTGGGCTTCTCTCCCTCTTCCCTGTTCCTCCTCTCTCCCCTGCTTCAGACTTTATTATTTTTTTCCCTTTCCTCTGCCCCCTTCCTTCATCCTCCCTTCCCCTTTTCTGAGGCCTCTACCTTTGCCTTATTGAGATTCTAACCTGTTGACCCACTGACAGCGTGCAGCCTGAGTGTGAAGCTATAACCTCACATTATCCAAGTTAATGATTTTCATGCTTTTTCCTGTTGTGGCTGGGAGAGCATTTCAAGTCCCCCAGGGCGATTCCCCTGCTCAGAAGTAGTGTTAAGCAAACTGCACCAAACAGTCAAAGGTGGGGAGAGCCGGAAGGGCAAGCGAGAGAACGGGAGTTCAATACCATTGGTGCGAAACGATGAGTTGGGAGTCAACAAAAGTTCATAATATCATTTTGTATATATTTGAGTTTCCGTGGTTATTGGTGGCACTGAAGCAGGGTTTCCCCCTTTGGCTTCTAGCCGCCCACCCAAAGTTCTTTTAGATGCTGTGTCCCCGTGAGGAGAATCTGTGTTGTTTTCACCCCTGGAACACCCAGGGCTGGTTTTCAGTGCTGACCTCAAGATGTACATAGCACTGTTTTCTTTTCTCTCCTTTTTCTTTTATTGTTATTGTTTTTTTCCCCTCAAGATAGGGTTTCTCTGTTACAGCTCTGACTGCCCTGGAAACTCACTCTGTAGACCAGGCTGGTCATGAATTCAGAGGTCCACTTGCCTCTGCCTCCCAAGTGCTGGATACAAATCATTCCTTATAGAACTTTTTATAGAAAGCCCCTTTAATGTCATGTCCTAAGTGGCTTATTTGCAGAAGATTATGGAATGGGGAGTACCACAAACTCAGTAACAGACACCGTAGAGATCTGTCCCGTGGACTAGATTAAGCTCGGGGTCTGGTGGACGGACAAGTCTGTCATTCTAACTTCCACCGGGCTCTCCCTGGTCTCTAATTCCTTCCCAGGACTTGCTCCCCTGTTGTAATAACTCATCTTACGTTACCTCCTGCCTGTGGTGGGTGGGGCACCCCACTTTTCCAGGACGCAAATGAACTCACCAGCAAGCACTCAGCTGGAGGAGCCATGGTCCCCTTCCTGACTCCTTCCATCTGGGCATCCTTAAAAGAATCTTGTTGAAGGACTTGCAGGTGCTTAGGGGTCCCATAACCGAAGCTTTTGTGTCCTGTGAGTTCAGAAGCAAAGGGGTTTCATTTCTAGAATGATCAGCTAGTGTTGCTTCTGAATGGAGTAGGAAAAAATGTGTTTATATAATGGAGAGCTTGCATCTTCACTTTAACATGATACATAGATTGATAGATTTATTTTTATTTTACCCAACACTTCCTTACCAGGTGGTGGTTCTTCAGTGGAAGGAAATATCAGATTTCTATGAACCGAAATCGGTTGCAAATATAAAAGCGCCCTTGCCAAGTAGAGGAACAATTAGTTCCTTTATATGTTTCGCTGGCCATAAAATTTGACATGGCAACCCACTGAGAAGTAAATTTTTTTCATGGAAAGATGGGGTGGGGTGGGGGGTTGGAGAGGAGTCAAAAGGCGGGTTGTTTAAAGTGAGGCAGCTCTTTGGGGGTTAAGGTGGGGGCTGGCTCACTGTGGAGGCAGCGCACGCTCAGACGCACAAGAGGAGATTTACCCCGTTCCTTCCCTTTCATCTTTCCTGCCCTGTAAGCGTTCACAAGAGCATTGCAGAGGACGCAGTGTGATGCCTGCGTAGCGAGATTCCCATTGGTCAGAAGTACTCAATGAGCAGCATTGATAGCAGAAGTCCACACCCCCCCCTTAGCCCCTGAGGCAGGGTCTCACTCTGTAGCCTTAGTTAGCCAGGAGCTCCCAATATAGACCAGGCTGGCCTTGAACTCATGTTAATCTGCCTTCCCCCTGCCTCCCAGAGCTGGAACTAAGGGCATGCCCCAGCACATCTGTTACTTTACCTTCTTAAGTACCTTAAACCTGTGAAATCCCAAGTTACCTAGGTTCTCAGACTGGACCACAATAAGGACCACAGATGTAAAGTGTCACAACATTTATAAGTCTTATTTTTTAAAAATGACTTTTTATAAATGACTTTTTTGGGGTAACCTGAAGAGATTTCTCAGTGACTAAGAACACTTGTGTTCTTGCAGAGGACCCAGGTTCGATTCCCAGCACCCACATAGTGGCTCATAGCCATTCTGTAACTCCAGTTCTAGGATAGGAGATCCAAGAGGCGCGTGTGCGTGCATGTGTGCGCATGCACGCACACACACATTCAAGCAAAAAGAGTTGTGCAAATAAATATAAACCTAAATTTTTTATTTAAAAAGATTTTGCTTAGAATAACAGAATATTTTATTAAAGAAAAAACAAATGACACATCTTTTCCTTTGTCAGAAAATTTGCAAGTAGCAAAATGTAGCGTTCAGTGTCACGCCTATTACAGTGTCTGAATTTACTAGCTGGTACCCAGGCTTTATGACTGTGCTTGTAGAGCGAGAATAACATGAAAGTGACTTACACGGTGCGTGTTTCCCTCATTTTAGAGATTTTCCATGGTCTGGACACGCTAACCGTGATGGGCATCGCGTTTGCAGCGTTTGTGATCGGAGCACTCCTGACGGGGGCCTTGTGGTACATCTACTCCCACACAGGTGAGCGTGACTACTTACACATGTCTGGGCACCTGCCGCACAGCAGACATCCGGCGATTTTTATGAATGGGTAAAATAAGCAAAAGAAAGAATGTTCACCGCCTTCGCTCACTATTTTTATACTTACGCACTTGGTCTAAATTGGGTCACGTAAGAATATAATTTGGCCTAAAGCGATGCTTGGAAAAGAGGTTTACATCCTGTTAGTTCTGCAACAGCACGGCGTTGTTGTTAGAAGCTGAAATATCCCACCGACGCTGTAATTGAGCTAACTAGAAAAAACATCCCCCCAAAGAAAAAGACTTTGGAATAAGCTGAGCGATATCTAGCATGCGACGAGAGAAAACAGTTGCTTATTGCCACAAATGCCAGGGACACTGAACAAGACCACCCCACCAGCGTCCCTGCGAGTGACTCTAAACTGTGATCCCCTGGCCTTTAAACTCGTAACATCTTTGGTAAACGAGTTTCTCCTATGTTTACAAAGCTTAGAACTTCAAATTTTATTTTTATGTTTAGAGAAACAAAGCGAAACAAAAACTTTAAAGCTATGCTTCCTGTCCCCACCTCCCAATTCCGATGCCCCCCCTCCAGCTAGCCCCCAGGTTGACCCTGTTGAAAAGCTGATACCGTACAACAGGCCTTGCAAGGGGAGTCACTCATTCTGTGGGGAAGGAACACACACACACACACACACACACAGTGCTTTTTAAACTTTCCTACAAATTAGGAAGGGATGGCATATGTGTTGAGACATTTTAAAATCTTGTTTGGGAGTGCTTGTAGTTTGTGCTGGGAACCTGGGTGAACTACATTAGACTGATCATTCTGAGGCAAACTTGAGCTTCATTCATTCACTTCATTCATTCTCCTCTGTCAGCCTGAGCCGCTCAGCTAAGTCTCACCAGGATGACTAATTTGAAGGGAAGAGAGAGCTACTGAAGGGAGCCGCAGGCATCATCATACCTTTGACTTTTCCTTGAGTATGTGCACGTGTGTATGTGAAAGTCCTCATGGGTGTGAAGGGGTGTGTGTGTGTGTGTGTGTGTGTTTGCACACATGTGTGGAGGCCCGAAGCTGATCTTGGATGGTTCCCCGTCATTCGCTTTGCCTATCGAGGCCTTGTCTTTCGGTGAATTCGGAATTCTCAGTAGTGCTGGTCTAGCTAACCACCTTGCCCCGGTGGATCCTGTCTTTGCCTCCCCAATGCCGAGATTACAGTCAGCCACCAACCTTACCTGGATTTCACGTGGGTTCTGGGGGTTTCTAAACACCAGCCCTCATACCTAGGCAGCAGGCGCCTATCCCGCAAGCCACCTCCCCCAGCCCCTGCGTTTTCCGTTAGTTGCTAGACAGAGCCTCAAACTGTTGAGAAAAACATGTGGCAGAGCTCTTTTGCTAGTTAAAATTCTCTCTCTGCCCACCACCATTTTCACTTCAAATGCCGTACCCCTTAGACTATGGCACAGCGTGAATCAAAGCCCTCGGCGCCTGGCCAGACTGCTCTCCAAAAGTCAACCTAGTGGCAAACGCTTAGTGTTTAGTCGTGGCGCGTTGAGTTCTCAAGACTTGTTCCCAACCAACAACCCAACCTTTGGGTGAAATGTGTTTCCATGTCAGAGAAAGTGAAGTCCTGCGTGAGATGGCCCGAGTGTTACATAAATGACGTGAATCGTTTGAAGAGTTTTCCTCCGTGTGAAAACTCAGGGAAAAAAACCAAAAAACCAAAAGAACAACCAAAGGGACAGCTTTTAGCAGAGTAGAATTTTGGAGTAAATAATATCGTCACAGCAATACCGACATGTTTAGGCCTCAAACTAATAGTTCCTTGCAACCTTTTTCCAACCTCCTGCGCAGGGGAGGTTCCAAGGGCACTTGGCACCCCACGTTGCCTACTGGGAATTAACTTGGAGGTACTCCAAGAAGGCTGTAGCCCTGAGGATTTTTTATATGGGGCCTGGTCACCCACAGATGTTTTCCATGTGTCTGCTCAGCCACTGGCTGCTTAGGTCTCAGAGCTGATCCCCAACCCCACACACAGGTCTGTGTTGAGCTAGGAAACCAGGCCCAGGCATAATATAGGGCTGTCCCGTGGCACACTCGGCTGTGGAAGCACGCCCCACAGAGCCCTGCAGAACCCCACGGAGACCCCGCAGAGACCCCCCCACCCCGTCTCATCCAAGCAGAAGCCTCAGAAGGGAGCTTAAAGTATTGTTGATACACAAAAAAAAGTTTGCACCAGATCAAATACAAACAAAAAGCCCTTTCCAGCAACAATCAGTATATGTTCATGCCAACTCAGAAACTAAAAAGGCCTACACTCTAGAGACACTGTCCTTTGGGCTCAAGCTCTGTTGACATCGCCTATGGTACGGCTCCAGAATTGCTTTTCTAGTCAATGTGGTGGCCCCCAGTTCATTTCATGCACACCGCTCATAATAATCACTCTTCGGTGCTATGCAAACACAGAGGACCCAGTTCAGAACCCAAGTAAACGTCTGAGTGGGTCAGCCAGCAGCAAGTTTAGATGAACAGGGATGGTCAGAGTGTTGTGGCCAGCAGGCAGAGATGGGCACCCAAACATTTTAACTCGGCCCTTCTTAATTTCTGTAACAAGTTCAGCTGTGGAATGCAGACCTTATATGGTCTATTTGGGGGTTCGGGCTGCATCTACTCCTGTGTCTAAAAACAGGCCGTCGTCTGGATGAGTCCCCTCTGCTTATGTTTTCCAGCCCCTTCCCAAAGCACAAACCAAGCCACGCATTTGAATTATGATTCTTTGTGTCCCTGGATCTTTTTTTTTTTTTTTTTTTTTTTTTTTTGCTCTAGAAGGATAGGGTTTCCATGGTCATATGACAACTCTGGACACCATGAGATTACCTCTTTGGGGCTCCGTTGATTTGGAGAGCCCCATTTTAAAGCTCTGCTTCATGTTTAGACATGAGGGGAGAGAGGAGGGGATGGTTGGGAGTAGGTATAGTTCTAAGTGCAAGACTTCTCACCTCTGGTGGTGACACGGGTCACGAAAGTCAGAGGTACACATCTGTTGTTTTCTAGAGAACAGAGGCTCTTATATGTTTGTTTTGTTGAAAACCTTGTTAGCCTCGTGTACATGTATAGCGTGACACCAGAGCTAGGCCCCCCTACCCACACACACACACAACCTCACCCTTTTTCTCAGTCTCTGCAGTAACGTCTTGTGTTTTCTCTCTTGTCCGATTCTTTGGGATAGTAACTGACATCTCTGAATAACACAAGTAGACCCACAGCCCTCTTTTTGTTTGGGGATCTTGTCCATCAACATCCTACTGCAGAAGATGAGGTTTATTTATACTCTACCCGGCTGCCCCAGTGACGCATCCCTCCCCCTTTCTTGATCCTGTAGCAGATCGTACTGAAGTCTCGGTTAGATCCCCATTCGTTGTTCCTGCGATTATGACTACCCACATGCTAACCACAACGTAGCCACTTAAAGTATGATAGTTCTATTCTTTCTCCCATGTGTTTTAGTTTTCCCAAGGGCCAGTAGCGTTTCCCTGCCTATCTGTGTCCCATCCCCCATTAGTTTAGTTTTCTAGACATTTATCATCAACCCATCTACTGGCTGCCGGCTGTTATGATCTCTTAATATGTCCAGGCATGCCACCCGTTTTCTTCCACAAGAGGATGGCTGGGGATGTGTCAGCATTTAGGAGTGCTTGCCGCTGTTTCTTCGGAGAGCCTGGGTTTGGTCACCCAGCACCTATGCTGTTCCCACGCACAAATGCTCTCAACCCTCCCCCACCCCTCTTTTAAATCGCCAGTTGGACCTATCTAATGTCTTATGCCATGTACCCAAAGCCTGCCTCCTTCTTAGCTTAAAGGGGACATGGGAAATTCTTGTTTCCTTTCTGTTGCGAGTCTGAAAACCCTGGATAGATGAACATGGCACAGACTGTTCAATTGTAAACGACCCCTTTGGAATCTTGAGAACACTCCTCATTCCCTTCTAGCTCCAAAGGTAGCTGCTGATGGTTCGAGGACATATAGCTTCAGATTTCTGATTCCAGAAACGAAAGTCACACAGAGAGAGAATCATCTTTATAATAATAATATCCGTTGACTTAGGTGTGTTTTCGTATTTTGTGCTGGGAATTAGTTGGACTTTCAGCCTAGGAATGCACATCCTTATGTCCTTTGTTCTGTTTCTCTTCTCCATCATCCCTTCTTTTCTTCCCTCTTTCTTGGCTTTATTTTGGGGAGGGGTGACATAGGATTATCTCAATGCAGCATAGGCTGGCCTTGACCTCAAGACTCTTTAAGTGCTAAGGTGACAGGCGTGTGTCAGCCTTACCTGGCTCATGCACTGTCTTCCTTTCATTGCCCCTGTGTTCCGTCTTCTCTCGCTGTATAAATCATTTTACTTGAGAGATGAGACTCTTTAACTAGCCCTCCACGCTTCCTCACGGCTACCTTTCAGATGACTGCAGTACTGCCTTGGAATTTTTTAAATTCCAAGAACTATGCATTTCCTTTGCTTTGTTTTTTTTTTTTTTTTTTTTTTAAGTTCTGCTCTGGCCTCGTTCGTTGCCTGCATCATCTATCTGAAAACCACACGAGCGTGGTTAAGAGTGTGGAGGATCTGACACTGGGACCCTTCCTTAGAGCATGTTGAAGGGGCTGTTTCACGGGTGAGACCCAGTGACACCTCTCTGCATCTTCCATCTGAACCCATCGGGTTTTTCCACGCAACAGGCCTTCCTATTTCCCACCTGCAGGGTATAGGTCCTGCTGTTTCGAGACCTTTTATTTTTTAAAAAAATGGGTATTAATAAAAAGTGCTGACATAGCAATGCAGGAAGAGAAATACTAGGACTTCCTGGGCAGGGCCGTACTGACTTTTCCTGACTGTGGATAATTTGATACTTGCCGTGTTCTGGAGGAAGCAAGGCATGTGGGCTGTCACTGGAGGACCAAGGCCATTTGGCTTCGGTAGCTGTGAGGCTGAGAGATGGTACGCC